TCGATTGAGTATTTTCATTCATCTGGCCATGTAAGTCAGTGGCGTATCTAGGTGTCATGAAATGGGAGGCTGATGGTGGGTGGGGGTGGCTCCGAGAGGTGAAGTGGAGGGGCGGAGGGTCGATGATCAGTTGAGTGGCGCTAATTCGCAAAATAAGATGATTTTAGGTGATTTTTAACTACTTGACCGTGACTTGAACCAGTGTCAGTATAATCTTAGGTAAGCATGTGGTTAACATAAGCAAGAACTTAGTCCAATGAAACTGTTTATCATCTTGATACCTTCCGACGAAAACTTAACCTGGGGGCGTCATCACGGCGTCCCCACCGACCGATTTAACGTGACGTTGTTATGTGGGTGTTTTATAGATTATTGAGAATGGTAATATCACCGAAAAATAGATAAAATGACAGTTGAATGACCAACAAAGACAAATGAAGACAATAGTTCGTCATTAGAAGTTATTTAATATAACTTAATTCGGAAAATTAATCTCAAAATCAAGTTGCCGTCCCCGGCGTTGTCAGTGACGTCGTATGATTTGTGTGCCATTTTTACCAATTAACCACTAAGTCAAAAATATTTGAAACATGCAGTACCTTGCAAATAAACCCATAAACCCGGTAGAATGTTGATTGTTGATTGGTAGCGTCCCTTCGCTGCCAAAAATATTTTTTGACAGTTGCGTCCCCGGGTACATCGTGAGGGCATGGTGAAAGCTGGTTACGATTTGGTGGCACATTGATGAAGTATTGTCATTCATCTGGCCATGTAGGTCAGTGGCGTATCTAGATGTCTTGAAATGGGAGACTAATTGGGAGGGGGCGGGAGCGAAGGTGAAGTGGGAGGGGGATCGATGATCAGTTGAGGGGCGCTAATTCGCAAAATAAGGTGATTTTTAACTACTTGACCTTGACATTTGAAACCAGTGTCAGTATAATCTTAGGTAAGCATGTGGTTAACATAATCAAGAATTTAGTCAAATGAAACTGTTTATCATCTTGATACCTTCCGACGAAAATTGACCCTACCGGCGTCCCCACCGATCGATCTAACGTGACGTTGTTATGTGGGTGTTTTATAGACTATTGAGAATAGTAATATCACCGAAAAAATAGATAAAATGACAGTTGAATGTCCAACAAAGACAACTGAAGACAATAATTCGTCATTAGAAGTTATTTAGTACAACTCTATTATTAACTTTAAATCGAGTTGCCGTCCCCGGCGTTGTCAGTGACGTCGTATGATTTGTGTGCGATTTTTACCAATTATCCCCTTAGTAAAATATAGTTAAGCCATGTAGTACCTCTGTCTCTTATACACATCTAGTTGCAAATTAACCAAGAAACCTGGCAGTTTGTTAATTGTTTATTGGTAGCGTGCCTTCGCTGCCAAATATGTTTTTTTTTTGGCAGTTGCGTAATAATACATGAAAAAACTATAAAAAAAAATACATTAAAAAAAAAACATTTAATACATTCTATACCCACAGGTAATCTCATTAAATATAACCGGTTCATGTCAGCATCCGTGGTTGATGGGCATAGGCCTACATGAGAAAACACCATTATAGCATGGAGGTATACCTCCACTCAGCCATGTATAAACCCCTTCATGATTTCGCACCTTATTAATGAAATTTAAGATGCTATTAACTCGAATTTACCTCGGTTTGATGGTTTTATTTTAACTGCTCATAATATAACAACATTAGAAAGTACAACTCAAATAAAATTAACAGACCATTATGATTATACATTTATCTTGGTATATCATCAGTTCAGTTTATTTCTCATCAGATAAAAATTTGCACAAGGCAGGACAAAAAAATATTACAATAAAAGGTGATGCAAGGATGTTCTATGAAAATTTTATTTAAGAAGTAAAACTTAATTCCAATGTGGCACTACATAAAACCAATTATAAACATGACGGTGAAAATGAGGCTAAATTGTCATAGAAGTAGAAAACGCTAAAGAAGAACAACATTAATAATAATAATAGTGATAATAATAATAATAATAATAATAATAATAATAATAATAATAATAATAATAAAATATAAAAGCAGTAAACATTTAATTAATTAAAGCTTTAAAATACAGACAAAATTAGGCTAAACAATTTATGTCATAACAGTCAAAAAAGCGCGGAAAAAAAAACACTTAATAATAATAATAAATAATAATTATAATAATAATAATAATAATAATAATAATAATATTAATAATAATAATAACAACAATACAACATACAAATTCAATAGTAAGAAAGAAGAAAGAAAAGAAATTGGGGAAACACAATAGGCCTATAATATTATATACAATATACAACCAGTGAACATTTAAATAATTAGAACCTTATAATACAGATAATGAGGCCAAACAATTTTGTCATGAAAGTAAAAAACTGGAAAGAAAAATAATAATAATAAAATATAATATCATTACAGTTTAGCCTCCCCTATCCAACTGCTTAAAATTAAGGAAAATATTCGAACATGCGCGGGAAGATCCCATTGGATTTCAAGTCCAACTTAACGACTCGGCCATCACAGCTGTACACACAAATTAATATATAGAAGCATCTCTTTTTGTTCATACTGTGGGCGCAGATCAAGTGGAAAACATAAACTCCATCATTACAGAGGTGAGCATAACAATGTTTTGGAGGGCCAAAGTAGCTTACCTTTAACAGAGAGAGCCGGGCAAGCAAACCTATTTCTAAGAAAGTATAATACATATTCATTGAAATACACATACATCAAAGTGTGGGATTTTCAATACAGTATTTCGACATTAATTGTCATAGTCATAATACATGTCATCATCAGGAATGAAAAATTGTCCATAATTTCAAGCTGCACTGTAATACCATAGAAAAAATAGTAATGGTAATACCGAAAAAGATTAATAAAGCTTTTGTTTGAATAAATTTCGTTAGTCTAAATAAGGTACTTCTGTTAAATGTGTGGTTAATTCATACAGTGAGTGAGTATGCATTTAACTATTTCAAGAAATGCTCGTTGGTCTAGTGGCATGATTCTCGCTTTGGGTGCGAGAGGCCCGGGTTCAATTTCCGGACGAAAAGCACTTTTTTAAGTAGACTTAGAATGTTCTTAATTTGTTCTTATTCTTACACACTTTTCAAACATAAAATTTTTTATTGTACAGCATTATATTACTGTATTGTATTATAAAGGGTATTATATAGTCCTACTGCAAGTAAAGACTCCCCCAGCCCACCCCACATCCACCACTGGATACACCCTTGTTGATAATTGGTCGTTTTGTTTATTAGATAGATGATGCTTGGATACCAATTCAACATTTTATTGCACTACAGGCGTCTCATGAGGTACTTCCTCAATCGTCAGGTGCTAGGCTCTGAATCTGAATTTGGCTCATCCAAGTATTAAGGTTTGTTGAAGTGGAATTATTCTCGCTTTGTGAAATGTATTATTCTTTCATTACACAACGTAAGCCAAAGACCATTGGAATATTTTGTGTCTTTTATGGAGGACATTTCAAAATTTGTGACAAAATGAAGCTGCATTGTGTTTTTATGTATTTTTTTGCTTTTCATTTTTTCGAGGAGCTCCACTTGCTTTTATTTCTTACTTAAAAATTACATGTTTCCCTCACCCAAATCATATCCACCTGGATCCTTCCTTGACAATTGTCCATTTCTTTTATTCAGATCTTTTCGTT